TTAAAACTAAACTTCAATATGAAATTCCGATAGTTTATATAATTTTGATAGCTGACCTGCATATTGAAATCGTTGTAGCAAAGAGGATTATAACTGAGATTGCATTAGATTATGCTTTTACTCATTTTTTATTAGTTTATATTTACTACCGCAGGTTTCAATAATAATAAAAGGGGAAATTATAGTCTTGGTTATTGTCACTAAAGCGGAATAGGCATTAAAAATAATGAACATAAGGCCACTGATTAAACTCGGTGAAAATAGGAAACGCATGGAATAAGAGTTAAAAAATATGAACATAAAGAATTCCTACATTAGACAGTGAAATATGAATATGAACTAAACAGGATGAACATAAAGCCATTATAATTGAAAATATCATAGATCCAAGATAAGGAAGGAACCAACAATACCTTATATTCGCTGAAGATCAATTAAAGGATGGTTATACCTTATCAGACTATATATAATATTCAAAATAAAAAGAGAATTCCTCTAGACCAGCCATCCTTACATTCGTTAAAAAACAATTAGAGGATGGTCATACCTTATCAGACTATAATATTCAAGATACGGAAGGAATTCCTCCAAACCAGCAATATCTTATATTTGCTGAAAAACAATAAAGGACGGTCATACTTTATCAGACTATAATATTCAGAAAGAGTCTGCTTTACATTTGGATTACGTTTTTATGATGTTATACTATTGTTATCAGAATAAAAGTAAATTAAAAAATGAATATGAGGTATTCAATCATTTATTATCAAAATTCTGACAATTAATGCGACAAAATGAACTAAGATATTACTAATACTATAAATTACCATGTCTATTATAGATAAAATATAAAAAACCCATGGTGATCGGCAGTATAAGCTTAAGATTTTTATTAAGCATCGACTATTACCGTATAGTACTCTTATAGTACCCGGGGTCTTATTCAAAACTTTGACTTTTGAAATTGATTAGTACCCGTGGGTACTTTGTATGGGACTGTAGTTATACCTCCGGGTCTTTGGATGCTCTCAAGCACCTGAACTAATAGATCAGAACTCAATTTTTAATTAGTTAAGCTGGTCAAGTGAATTTATCATCGCAATGAAAAAAAAAGATGGTCGAGACCATCTTTTTTTATCATAGAGTTGTACCAATTGGCTAAAATTTAATATCCGCATTTCGCATCATAAATTTTCAGCCAACTTGCTGTAAAGATTACTTCAATTAATCGTAGTGCTTGTACATGATCTTGATCACTAGCAAATCTCATTGAGAAATATGCTTGAGAGCACCCTTAATCAAGAAATAGACCGGTAAGACAGTTAATAAAACCTGAGTCTTAATCATGGGAGGTTTTATTTTATAAGGATACTATAAGCAGTGCTATACAGTAAAAATGTTAGGTTATTGGGTTTATTTTATAGAACAAGATACGATAGATTCAGAAGGTAGACTGTATATTAAGTATTACCACAATGCACTGACTAAAAGACAATAACGTTGAAAAGAGAAGTATTTTAGTCAGTACGCTACAGCAGGTTTTAAACTTTAAGATTCTGAATTTTGGGGATCTTGACCTATTAGGTTCTTATATCTGTGAAGCTAAACATCAGAATATCGTATTGTGATTATGAATTATCGGAAATTTATATTGGAATTTTTATTGTATTATATTAATTAATACTGTTATATTTGTAGATGAATTATTTAATTCCAGAAGGTGAAAGCGTAGGAAAAGGTGCTGATGTAGTCATTTCTTTGGTTCATAATTACTTTATGAATCATGGTCTTGGTGAGAAACATGTCATAATACATGCCGATAATTGTGTCGGCCAAAACAAAAATAATGCTATGATACAGTATCTTATGTGGCGAGTAATGACAGGATTACATGACAGAATTACTTATTGTTTTATGGTTGCGGGTCATACGAAATTTAGCCCTGATGGTTTTTTCGGTCTCTTTAAACTAAAACTTCGGAAGTCTGAGGTCGATGATTTAGAAGATTTGATACGCGTAGTTCAACAGTCCACGGTAGATGGGTATAATCAGGCAGAAACTGTTTATGATGTAAGTGGAAATAGAAAAATCACTTTTTATAAGTGGTCCAAATTCCTATGTCAGTTTTTTACAACGATTTCAATATGCAGGTCAGCTATCAAAATTATATAAACTATCGGAATTTCATATTGAAGTTTAGTTTTAA